ACGGCTGGCGGGAGGGGGGGAGGGGCGTCATCCATAGCTCTACATGGCACAATATTATTTCGACGAGTTCAGTTCCAACACCTCGCCCCTTGCAAAAATAAATGTGCTCTAGATACGCAACTGAAAGCACAAATCCAGTTCCTCATATCCTGGAGTCATTTCAAAACTTGGTTCGGCTCACAAGTCAGCCACGGTCCCAGCAACATTGTAAGTACAGCAGTTGGTAGCGCTTGAATACCAAACGTCACCATTCCAACGCCCCAATAGGACACCAGTGTCGACTCTGGCATCCACTGATCCGTGAGTGAGTGCGCGACACTTATTGCAATTCGATGTTGCACACAACATGAGAACAAAATGATCTAATAACAGAACCTCCAAAAAATTCTAGGTGCAGTTATTTTTTGACGAAGAAAATGACTTCAATATTCCTAAATTTCTTCCAACATACACTGTATCTTTTGTATAATACTCGTATGTCACGCTTGCCAACTAAGATCGGTATAATTGTAACAATATCTGTGAAGATCTCATCGCCTATTTTCCTGTTATCAAAAATTTATGGTTGGCTTCGGCATGGACCGGATAGAAAACACCGCTTCCAACAGTTCTGCTATTGTTGCGTGCATTCATTGCCTCAAGAACGTCATTACCGAGCCGTTACCAAGCAAAGGTCACCTCCTTTNCCTTTTTTCTCCATTATTCCGATTGCCAAACATCATATCCCATTGCTCCACACTGAAACCTGCTCAGAAATTTGAGAGGCCGTAACGCTGATGTTACTGAGAGGAGGAATTTATGAAGTACGCCGTTGAATGGAGCTCAGGTGCAATAATACACTGTAATGTGAATACCCACTGCCAGACCACAGTTCTGTAAACATGTTCCAACACACATCTCTAGGCCATGTCCGAAATACGGGCAAGCAACATTACAGTAGGCTTCGTATTACATGTCCGCGGTGACGTCACACACCGGTAAGTGGTGGTCACGTGACATGTGTTTCCTGTGATGCGTATCCGTTCCTCGGCTATATAATTGACAGAATTCGCTCAAGATACTTACGACTGAATAACAGCGGCAGAAACACGCGAACAAGCAGGCGCAGCAAGGAGTTTGTAGTTGAAGAAGAACTAGAAGTCCGCCTGTGAAGATTTAATGTGTGATTAGAAGATATTATTTATGTGTAATATTTCAAGTGTGTGATTCAGTGAGACTGTTATAGTTCCCGTATTATAAACCCATGAAGACTAGTGCAGACCGACTGAAGAGATTAGTCTGGCGTGATTGTACATTGTGTAAATCAGAAATAGTGTAATAATTAATTGTAGTTACGACCTTGTAGCCGTCCGCCGACTTACAGCTGCCACGACTGTCGCTCGAGCGTGAGTTTTTAATCTCAGGATACGGATGCTTCGTATATGTGAGTAGAAAAATCTTCGGGGTTCATGATTGCGGGGGCTCCAGAACACATCGTGTATTGCAGTTTTAATTTAAAGTTTCATTAATGATCAATATTTATATTCTCCTCCAAGCCAGTCACTCCGTCCGCCCACTCGCTACCACTACTGTCGAACACTTCTCTGTTCTGTCTATCTTTCAAGAACTGTCCACTTCAGCTCCCTATAACTAACTGCCCTCTCTTTACCAGTCCTCCAGTGGGCATAAAAAACAAGAAAATGAAGAGAGAAAGCCAAGGTTCGAGCCGGCATCTGACCTACATTCGCCCTTTTCGACAAGCCCGTAAATTTTTTTAGGTCTTCAAGGCACACGATCAGGGAACCCAAGACCCTCCTGGTAGGTCTTGCACAAGGTTAGTTTATGGGTTTATGATACCAGGAGCAAACTGGCGACGTTAGGTACTATAGTGAAACCCTAAGCCTAAGGAGGACAATATCTGAATTACAACTAGACGGGTCCTGGGATTGTATCTCGCTGGAGGAGTGTCTCTCATGGTGTTAAACAATGCATAAGTTGTTCATACCCTTAATTAAATAATTTTGGCGAGGGACGTACGGTTACAACCTGTAGGTTAAAAACAAATCCAATTACCAATCCAATTTACCGACACACGTGAAAATACATACAAGTTTCATAAACACCGTTTCAGGCAGTCAAATATTATTAAGACTAATATCTGACGATCTGAGAGGTTTCAATCTTGGTATTAGTGGTGGGAGGGATGAATTTATGAAGTACGCTATTGAGATTCCTTCAGGTGATATACACGCTAAGTTTCATGATGGTCTGTACAGGCGTTCAAGTAATATTGTTGTCACCAAGAAGTCCGTTTTAGTTTGCTACGGTCCCGAACTGGCGCCGGAAGGCAGGCCATTATGTATTCCCGTCGAAATTTAGACGGCTTCGGGTCGCCCGCTTCCTCTTCCTCTTCCTCTT